GGCGGTGGTACCATTGTTGAGAACAGCACATTTGGTCTTAATAGAAATGTGTCCTTTTTGCGTGATTTAAGTAGCAAGCAAGGTGTTCACATAATAGCTGGAGCTGGTAAGGATTATATGTAGCATACAGATAGTAGTAAGTATGTAGTTTATATCTTTTGTCAATTTTTATTTTTATGATATGATTTTCAGATAGTTTGCTATTGATTTCTACATCAAATTGAAATCAAATAAATATTGTTAAAATACATCAGAGGTAAATGTCAAAAGATGTGTGCATTTATCTATACAAACAGGGTACTATGTGCAGGCAGCTCAGAAAAAAGAAACTCTGGGAACTTCAGTGGAACAAATGGCGGAATTCATGAAGCGTGAGCTAACTGTAGGATGTGATGATAACCCAGATGTGAAATGTGGAATCATTGGTGAAATTGGATGTTCCTGGCCTCTGTATGGTAAGAACTTGTCAGTAGTGGTAATTTCTTTCTCTGGTGTGAAGTATATACATTTTCAGTTATTATACACAAGATTGGTATTAAAGTTTATATTTCTTGTTTTCACCAATGCTGGTGGGGATGGCCATGCCCACTATGAATTTAGTTTATTAGTTGTCTTTGCACAAGTACTAAGTCACCAATGAGCCAATTACTAGTACTACCTATCTTACCTGTTTGCCCTTTTCCTTGATTTTCAGAAATATTTGCCATTAATAAATTCAATAACATCATAATGATTAGAATGTCTATAATGATAATATGAGCATCGATACTTATAGCATTAGTAAAAAAACTTTTCCCGCAAACTCAAAGAAAGGTGAAGTCAGCTAAGCACTTATGGACCCATGTATGTGTAGAAATTTCACAAGACAATACTACACACACTATATTTTTCCAGTGATATGAGGTTTAACTTCTTTGTAGTGAAAAGCATTTTTTTCTTGAATGTTTCAGTATGACCATATACAATGTAAAGAAATTTGTTGCTTTTCTTTTATTGGTAATCTATTGAGGAAAGTTTTTCATAACCAGATTTTGAGCGTCATACTATCCAGGCAGCGGCTCATGCACAAGCCTCCACGGGCTGCCCAGTGATGTTTCATCCAGGCCGTAATGATAGTGCACCAGAAGAGATTTTTCGGGTTTACACAGAAGCTGGTGGTGATGTGAAGAAGATGGTCATGGGTCATCTTGATAGTAAATATCCATTATGCTTTATATCTGTATACAGTCACTATTTGGATTATGAAATAATTTTTTAAAATCTGTAAATGGGAAGGTGATATTTATATTATAACCTCATTTTGCAATTTTAATGATACCATTATTAAAACCTAATTCTGTTACTTTGGAGAGATTCCCTTTTCTTTTTTTCATGACATAAAAGTACAAAACTTGTGTGGTGTAATGACTTTACGTAATTAAAATTGTCATTGTACAGGAGATTTATTTTAGTCATTATTTTTAATAATTTCTCTTTCAGGGACAATTCACACTCTAGAAAAGCTGGTAGAATTTGCATCTCTTGGAAGTTATTGTGAATATGACTTATTTGGCATTGAAACTTCCCATTACCAGCTCAACACACACATTGACATGCCCTCTGATGCCCAACGTATCCAACGCATTAAACACTTGTTTGACAATGGCTTTGGAGAGAAGATTTTAATTGCTCATGATATTCACACAAAGCATCGCCTGGTTAGTGAATGTTACTTTTCCATATTAATTTCTTTATTCACCCATTTCATGATTATTTTTTCTTTTAAAGTAAAGATGTAACAATTTTTCATCATTCAACAGAATATGTGAATGAAAATTCATGTATATGTTGTTTTTGCTGAGTAGGTTAACATTAAAGATTTTCTTCTCAGTTATTGCTACTCCATCCTATTTACTGTATTCCAGTTTGATTATGTAGTAGATGAACTGTGAAATTATTGTTTAAGATGCTTGATTTAAAGCTGAATTCAATAAATTATGATTCAGATGTACTTTGAAGGTTGGTTCATGATTTGATGCATTTCTCTTTTTCAGCAAGCTTATGGTGGTCATGGATTCTGCCACATTTTGGAGAATGTTGTACCAAAGATGTTAGACAGAGGATTGAATCAGGATGACGTGGACAAAATGTTAATAAGTAATCCAGCTACATGGTTAACTTTTACCAAATAGATTTTATGACTTGGCAGAATATCATTAATTCCAAGAATGTAGATTTAGCAGGTGGCATAAAGATAATCTTTAAATTTTATACTATCTCAAGATGATGTGCTACTTGGCATATTGTGGTCTCTTTATGCAGAGTTACCTATGTAGTATTGTATTTACACACATTATAGAATGCAGATTTTGAAAACATTTTAAATGTAATTTGTTTACCATATATGGTTACTTGATGTTTAAGATTTATATTTTCAAAAAATGTATTGTTCATAGGACTGTCGTTATTTACTTTGTTTGCAACATTTTATGGGATAATAAAGTTTTGTTAGTTTGCCCTATAAATTTGTTTTTCTACTTAATCTGCAATGTAGCCCAAACTTATATTTGATGTATTATTGGATGCTGGAAAAGTATATTATGCTTTTATGATGATGATAATAAGTGTGTGTGGGGGTTGCTGCTGCTGTTGTTGCTGTTGCTGTTGTTGTTTTACTTAACAAGTAGTAATAAGTGACAAGCCTCATTAGCAAACACAGTCAAGAGAAAGCAGATTGTGAAATGAGTATGTGTAGTTCATATTACATTGCTATTTAATTAATTTATTTGTATGTTTATTTACTTATATAAAAACTGACCCCTTCAACTGCAAAGGAGAAAGGAGGGATATCAATGACAACTAAGTTGATTTTTGTTAATGACTTTTTTTATTATTATATCTATTTTTTTACAGTGTTTATATTCCACTCGCTGAAATTTCCTGGAATAGAAAATATTATTGGATATAAAATCATAGTAAACACTCCTAATTTCATGCTTATAATCAAGTACCTATTTAGGCCTTTGGTCAAAAAAAGTGTAGCTATGAAGTAGTGAGACTATATTATTAGGCTAACATAGAAGCCTGACATTTTAGTCAGCTTTTGTAATTTAGCTGCCATTTAAAAGCTTCAACATGGTTATGTGAAAAAAAATCATTTTTGCTTTGCTTGCAGTACATTTGTCGCTGCAGATGTCTAATGGGATATGTATCTGCTCATATCTCCGATTAGAATTTTAATTCCTGCTTGCCTTTAATCTCAAAAGCTTTTACAATCAAATCTTCCTCCAGCCCTTGCCCTTCTACTGCTTCCACCTCTGCAAACCTTTTTGAGTACTTTTTTTGGCTTGGCCAAGTGGGATCAATTCTTTATGATTCCCCGTACAGCCCTGTAATCTGACAATACCCTTCTCCTTCAGCAATGTCTCCTAAAACAAGTAGGCAAAGATTCCTTTTGCAGTTGTTCTGATCATTCATGCCTTGTCACAGTTATATCTCAGTCCCAAGGAACACACTGCTCCCCACACTACTCCCTACATGTACTATCTATCATGACTGATCTCACTGGCAAACTTATTTTTGCTGAACCTCACTCCTTTCTTAATACTTATACCAGAACTGTTTCCATCTCCCCAACTGATTGCCCTATCTATGACAAGGACTGGTCAGACTGAAAGTTAACTGCTTACCTGCCTTGATGCAGTAGCAGTACAGTGCTACACTATTCCTCTCAGAGGCCAGCATAAGTCCTACACTAATATTGCTGAGATTAGCTTCCGTAGGCATGACCTCCCCAGTGGAGTTTATATTGGCAGAGTGTCCTGCCCTCTCCAACTATATTGACCCCTTACCCATCAATGTCAGAAATGTTGGTGTTTTGCCCACAACCAAACACTAAGGTAGCAGTTCTCCAATCCAAACTAGGCCTAATTAACATGAGGCCAGACAGGAAGCACACCGACAAGGTTTTTCTCTTTACCTATTCCAAAACTGTCCTTTGCTCCGCTCCCCTCCCATCTTCTCAAGATGTCAGCATCTCCCCCATCTCTTCCCTCTACCCCAAATCATCCTACCTCCACTTCCTTTCTCCCCCCAGTTAAATTTCTTTACCAGTCTGAATCCATGTAATTTATACTCTCCCACTTCCCCAGTGCCTACCCCTCCTCCTCCTTACTTGACCTGTTGCACTAGGCAATCTAAACATTCCACCTCATTCTTCTCCTACCACATTTTCTCCTATACCCACCTCTTCCGCTGTTCCTCAGGCACCTATCCCCTCTTCTCACAAGAAAACCTTTATTTCTCAGACCTCCCCATCCAACTCCCCTCCAGAAATTCTTTGACATGCAAAACTTCCTAAATATGACCAAAGAGAATGCTCCACTCCCGTATCCACCTTCCAATCCCTCTAATAATATTCCCTTAACATTCAAAGCATTTGCTGATAACCACCATCCTCCTCAGGTTCCCCCTACCTCTTGTTCTTCCACTTTCCCCAAAAATACCTCATCCTCTCCTTCTCCACTCCCTCTTCTTTCCCCATTATCCTTACCACTCCAACCTGCTCACTCCCTTGTCACAACTGTTGTCCTCCAGATCCTTACGCTCCTCACATTCATCCTGATACTTCACCACCTTCTCCTGTTCCTTTATCTCATTCCCAGGATTCTTCTCTTACTTCTTCAACACCAATCTCTACCTGTATTACCTGTTGATTGTTTCATGATAACTCCTTTGCCTTGTAGTGTTCCTCTTCCATTCTCAGACACATACTCTCCATTTCATCCAATCACTCTACATCCTTAACCCTTCCTCTTTTACTAATCTCTGCCTTACTTCATTTGCTCCCTCCTCTTTACCCTTTACCCTATTCACTACCATATCATCCTAAAATACGCAATAATCTTTGACATCTAACACGTTTTATCCTAATCGTTAACTTATGATTACCCTTTACACCAGAATACTTTACCATAGTGTTATAGACCTATATTTTTATCAGCATTAATTATTCTAATTCAGCAAAATGAAATTTTGGAGGAAGTTCCTCTGTGGTCAGTTAAAGTTTACACGATGACACTTATATCCCTGAACTTCATCCAATAAATAATTTAATAGCTCCTGAGTCAGTATCATAAATTTATGGTTCCAGCAAAAGTGTTTCTTCTAAGAGATCCTGTAGAAATGTGTTTTCTTTTAGTCAAAAGAAAGGTGAAATCACCAAGATATTCTGATCAGTGAAACCACAGCATAAATTTATTATTTTAGACATTACAATTCTGCATATTTAAATATTTTCTACTAATGAATCAGTGAATCACTTGAAAGCATCTATAAGTTCTCATTACTTAGAATGGCCATGAAGTCATTCTTCATTATTTTACCATTAGGACTATTAAATTCTGGATAGATCTCTGAGCCACATTATTTTTATTATTATTGATATAATGAGGTTACTGATTTTATTGCTATTCATAATGCAGTTGCTCTAGCTTATCATTCCTGTTAATACTATCACTTAAATTTATTCTGTTATCATTCCAGACTGGAGAACCATTGAATTATTGACTTTTTCTAATAATTCTTAAACATACAGTTTAGAATAAGCATGGGATTAACTTCCAGTAACTGATTTCCTAATACTTTTTACCTTAACAATCCCATGCCCATCGTTGCCTAGGGCGGGCTTAGGAGATGGAGACTGGACCCCAATGCTGGGATCACTCCTGCCTTGGGCCTCAGCCCTTGCCTCAACTTATTTTGCAAGGTCTTTTCTTCTCTCTCCTTTTCCTTTTCCTTTTCTTCATCCACATCCAAAATGTGAGAGCCGTGCTGAAAGGATGAAAGACTGGCTTTGTCATCCTGAATGGCCTTGGTACTCAGTTTCCAATTTCCTATTACCCTTTTCACTACCATACGACCCACTTTTATTTTTTCATCATGATGTTGTATGAACATTTGTTATCTGAGGGCTTTGCCCTCAAACCGTACCCTATTGCTATATTTTCTATACTCTGCTATTGACCTTAAACCTTGACATGGTAGAAATTTGTCAGTAAGATACTCGGTTGGTAAGAATAATAGATGGAAAACTGAGGCAGTCGGTAATCACAGACATGGGAAATTGGGTGACCTGACCCCACCTGTACCACAGATAACACAGACCTTGTATTTTATTTTACTTCTTTGAGTTGACATTGGCTAAGCATTTTCTAACAATTTATAATTTTATCATTCCTGATAAACATAAAAAGTGAAAACAACAGTAAATCCCCATAAAAGTTAAAATCAAAAGGAAAATTATATGCAACCAACTAAACAGTCCCTTGTTAATTTTATTCTTTAACAATGGTATACAATCAAGAGATTTCAACCAAAATGTATATATGAGTTAATGACAAACAGAGGCAAACTAACAAATGGATTATTTGGTATTGCTAAGAAGATGCAAGTTCTTGAGAAATGGTAATGTGTAAAACAAGATTTTTTATTTTCATAATGACCATCCATTTAAAATGACATTTACTAAAGGATGAAAAGAGAAAACAGTCACATCACATTAGAAGAGGGATCATTACCTCCGCCAAAACAACAACAACAATGTACGACCTAGATTTATTTAGGAAAGTGAGACAACAGTTTCGGAATCGTCTGACTTAGCACAACTTATATGCTTTCAAATTGTAGTGGTGACCCAGATCCAGATTTTTTTTAGATTATTACAATAGTTACCCCTGTTACCTTGTTAACTGGGGTAACTGTCATAATTATCATTACCTTTATTATCTATTCCAAAGAGGTTATGTTTACAGATATCACCAGTATACTTGAGCAAGAGGTGATTTTAATGTAATTCTTCCTGTGAATATTTTCATTGCATCATTGATCAGGGCCATCATGATGGGGGGGGTGACATCCCCCTTAAAAAGCTCCTGTCAGAAAATGAAGCTAAAACTGGTATTTTGTCGGCAAATTCCAAGAAATTTCTGAGTCATATATCTTTTGTATATCGATGAATGTGGTAAGTATAGTGGTCAGGAGGTAAATGTCATTCGGTATGCTATACTGCAGGTTGCTAATAGCGATTCCGGATCTGTGTGTAGGATAACATGCCGCTCCCTCTGGGATCCATAGGTTGGGGCTTCCATGATAGCAACAGCCTCCTGCAGTGTATGGACGTCGTATTGTCTGAGGTTAAATCCTTAGTGTTTTAACACCCGGAAGAGTGATACCTGCAAGTTCCCCTCTGTTTCTGCGTTTAGTCAAGGCAGGGGGTTATGCCTCTATTCTTGAAAAGCTCATGATTGATCTGTGCCTTTGATGAGGGTTCAACGTAGATTGGGGGTGCCCTTGGCTAGTAACTGCCCTGTGTGCTGATAGCTCAAAGATATTCGAAAAGACCGCGTACTCGCATTCCAGAAGTCAATGTGCTTTATCCCCTGGAGTACCTGAACAAGGTCTATATAAGTACTTATATAGACCTTGTACCTGAATGCCCTTAGCAAAGAACCGTGTCACCAA